GTGTGGTCACTATGGATAGTGATAGTGATTACATGCACCCTTTTAAAGGCTTAAGGGCATGTGCGTGGTTACTATGAACACTGAAAGTGTTTATGCCCATCCTAATTTTCTCAAAAAGCCTGGGCGTCATCACTCTAATCATTAAAAGTAAGAGTTCCAGAAAGTAGGGTTTATACCTAAGTTGCACGTGATCACTATGACTACTCAAAGTGGTAATGCATAGTATGAAGAATTAAAAATACTTGGGCGTCATCACTTTGGACACTGAAAGTGATTGTTCTAGAGAGTGCCCCTCACTTGCAGCTTGAACGTGCCTCCTTTAGACAAGGATAGTGACTGCTTCCCCTGCTGAACTTGATTTTTCTATGAATTATGCAGAATTTGAACTCAAAAATCATTTTATCAGCAACTTCAAAACTCAGAATTATGCAAATTTATTACAAAAATGAAAGGTAAAATGAAAATAAAATTTCAAAGAATTGTGTGTTGCCTCTCATACAACGCTTCTTTAACGTCACTAGCTTGACATATGAGGTCTCTTATTCTGGAGAGATCAGTTGGATTGGATCCATGATAGGGTGCTCCAAAGCTATTTCTTCAACAATCTTTGAGTGGACAAAATTCTCTAGAAAATGTTTTAAACGATGGCCATTCACTTTGAAGCTTGTGTTAGTAGAGTCACTCTTGATTTCCATAACACCATTAGGGGACACATGAGTGACTATGAAAGGACCAATCCATCTTAAACATAGCTTACTAGGCATGAGTTTAAGATGAGAATTGAATAATAACACCTTTTGACCAAGAGAAAACTTTTTTCTAGCTATCTACTTATCATGGTATCTCTTTGTTCTTTCCTTGTAAATTTTGGAGTTTTCAGAGGCTTCCAAGCAAAGTTCCTCAAGCTTTTGCAGCTGTAATTTTCTTTTATCTCCAGCTTGGTCAGAGTCTAAATTGCAAGCTCTAACTACCTAATAGGCTCGGTGCACTATTTCCACTAGGAGGTGGCAAGCCTTACCATAAATGATTCTATATGGAGACATCCCCAAAGGTGCCATGTAGGCAGTCCTATGAGCCCAGAGAGTATCATTAAGCTTGCGACTCCAGTATTTCCTATGAGGCTGCATAATCCTCTCCAATATTTTCTTGATCTCCCTATTAGAAAGTTCAACTTGCCCATTAGTTTGGGGATGATAAGCTTTAGATACTCTGTGCATTACCCCATACTTCTTCAACAAAGTCTCAATGGTTTTGTTTTAGAAGTGACTACTTTGATCACTAATAATGGCTTGAGTAATGTCAAACCTGCAAAATAGATTAGTGCGAATAAAATCTGCAACAATTTGAGCATCAATAGTCCTAGTGACTTTGACCTCCACCTATTTTGAAACATAATTCACAACAAGTAAGATATATAGAAAACCGAAAGAGGATGGAAAAAGGCCCATGAAATCAATACCCTTTGCATAAAAAATATCACATTGCAACATTGGTTGTTGGGGCATTTACTGCTTCCATATGATCAAATTTCCTGCTCTTTGGCACCGCTCACATGTAGTATATGCTTGCTATGAATCCTTAAAGATGGTGGGTTAGTATAGTCCTAAGTCCAACACCTTTCTTGCTATTCTTTAAGGTCTAAGGTGTTTCTCCTACAGCATAAGCGTGACAGAATTACAGAACTGATTGGATCTCTTGGTCAGGGATGCACCTCCTAATTACTTGATCACTGCAAAACTTCTAGAGGTAAGGGTCATCCTAAACATATCACTTTTGATCTTTTCCTCCTGAGTCCTTGATGTATTCAATGGAAAAACTCCTACAACCAAAAAATTCACTATGTCAGCAAACCAAAGGGCTTGTGCAGTGTGCAACTCAAGAAGTTGCTCATTAGGAAAATCATCTTTAATAGGAGTATGATCAACAACTCCCTCAATCCGGCTTAAGTGGTTAGCCATTAGATTTTGTGCTCATTTCTATCTTGAATTTCCAAATCGAATTCTTGAAGTAAAAGCATCCAGCTAATAGGTCTTGGCTTTGAATCTATCTTTTTGAACAAAAACGTCAAGGCTACATGGTCAGTGAAAACAAGTACCCTAGATCCTAGCAACTATGATCTAAATTTGTCTAATGCAAAAACAATTGCTAACAGCTCTTTCTCACTAGTACTGTAATTAGACTATGCAGAATCTAAAGTCCTTGATGCATAATAAATTACATTAGGTAGTTTATCAATCAGTTGTGCAAGCACAACTTCCATTGCATAATTGGATGCGTCACACAATTAGCTCAAAGGGGATTGTTCAATTTGGTGGCTAGATGATTGAAGTGGTAGTCAAAGACTTCTTGAGGAAATCAAATATCTTTTTACACCTCTCATCAAATGTGAACTCAACATCTTTTTGCAGCAAATTAGAGAGAGGAATAGAAATTTTTGAAAAGTCTCTAATGAATCTCCTATAGAATCCTGCATGACCAAGAAAAGAATGCACCTCTCGCACACAAGAGGGGTAAGGTAGCTGTGAAATCACATCTAATTTAGCAAGATCTACTTTTATGCCTCTCCTAGAAATAATATGTCTTAAGACTACACCTTATTTAACCATAAAATGATATTTTTCAACATTCAGCACAAGGTTAGTCTCAATGCATATACACAACACCCTATCTAAATTGTCTAAACATAAATCAAATGAGGAGGCATATACAGTGAAATCATCCATAAAAACCTTTATGCAATGCTCAAGTAAATCAACAAAAATACTCAACATTCATCTTTGGAAAGTTTTAGGGGCATTACACAAGGTAAAAGACATCCTTTTATAAGCAAAGGTGCCAAATGGTTATGTGAAAGTGGTTTTTTCCTTGGTCCTCACATGCAATGGTAATTTGAAAATAAGAAACAGTAATGAGACTTACCTGCTAAGCATTCCAGCATTTGGTCAACGAAGGGCAAACGGAAATGGTCCTTCCTAGTTGCTTGGTTGAGTCTTCTATAGGTAATGCAAACTCTCTAACTGTTCTGAACTCTTGTGGGTATCATCTCAATCTTTTCATTATTTATAATTATGATCCCAGACTTCTTAGGCACTACTTGGACAAGGCTAACCTATGTACTATTTGAGATGGGATAAATGATCCCAAATTGTAGCAGTTTGGTGACTTCCTTCTTCATTACATCCATAATGAAAGGGTTCAACCTCCTTTGTGGCTGTCTTACTAGTTTAGTGCCTTCCTTTAACCAAATTCGATGCATACATGTTGTTCGCAATCTAACACTAGCAAGTGCACTAGGATTGCAGCAAGTAATGAGTAAATTTAAGATCCAAATATCGTCTCCACAGGGAATTTAGGTTTCAAGTACCACTTCACAGAATTATAACCATTTGAGCCATACAAATTTGAAAGGAGAGTTGTAACATACAAAAGCAATAAACCAAAACAATTAAGAGTAAAGAAAAACGTGCAGAAAATAGATCAATGAATGCAATATGAGATTAGAAATGGATTGAAAGGTAGTTAGGAATTTACTTCACAAGAATATTAATATTAATTCAATTATGCTTCTGAAAATTCAAGAACTTGATTAATTGACAATCAGTTTCGCATATCAATAGCCAAAGGTTAATCCCTTAACTCATAGACCCTAACAAGCAACTAAACCACCCTAATCCCTTAGGTGAAGTTCAATTTCAAGTTGCATTAAGACTTAGAACCTTAAGATTGTAGAATTAGGTCTCCTTATCCCTAAGAAATCCCTAAATTCCGATTGCAAACTCAGATCAGAGAATCAAATCCAACTTCCATTGGTAAATGTTCCTCTTTGATGAACCATACAAATTTCCATTCATAGATTGCAAGAAAAGCAGAATTCACAATTCAATTAATCCAAGAACTCAAAATTCAGAAACAAGAGTCAAATCAATACATCAATTCAAGTTCTATAAACTCCTAACTACAAGAAAACTACTCATACATGGGAGAAGAGAAAGAGAAAGAAGAAGAAGAAGAAGAAGAAAAACTCCAAGAAGCCATAGCCAAAAGCTCCAATTCGATTCCTCTTTGTGGAAGCTTCAAGACTTGACCCCAATCTTCTCTCTCAACGACAATCTAATAGAAAAACGGAAAAATAAAACTCCACCCCAAAAATCTGGGCGCATCTGGTATTTATAGAAATTTCCAGATTTGTATGTTATCACTTTTATGAAAAATAGTAGCTACGTAGAAGGTTTATGGTTGCGCGTTAACATTTCTATGAGAAAAAGTGGCCACGCGCAACTTTCCTGATATTGAAAGCTCTCTGGAACTATCACTCTTGCTGATAAAAGTGACAACGCAGCGCTCAAGTGGTTGCGCATGATCACTCTTATGAATAAAAGTGATTATGCGCAATTGGCCAAGTTGAAGGCTCTCTGGAACGTTCACTTTTGATGATAATAGTGGTTACGCAGAGCTTTCCTGATATTTTGCCTCTTTGGAACGCTCACTTTTAATGATAAAAGTGGTAACGCCCATGCTTCACTTCTTCTTTGAGCTCTGGAGTGATCACTTTCACTAACAATAGTGATCACGCCCAGTTTGCATTTTCTTGTTCTTGTGTTTTTGGAGTCCAGACTTGCTTCTTTCCTCTTCCTTGTCATCAAGCCTCCATTTTCATGAACCTTGCTTGAATTATTCCTTCAAAAACAAGATTAAAAACTTAATTCCTAAGCAAAAATTCCACAATTGCTAAAATAAGTACACATTGAAAGAAAACTTCAAATCATTCTCTTTTTCTGAGTTTTTCTGCTTTCTTCATATATTTTCCTTATCAATTAAGCAAGAATTATGCTAAAATATCAGTAAAAATATGGATTCATCAATACAGATAGAAGGGCTAATACTAGGGATATTTGTAAGTGTCCATCCAATAGCCTTCTTATGCTTCCTAATGACTTCCAAAAACTTTTTGTCTTATTCATCATTAATCTTTGTGGAAATAGTGACAAGGAGCTTCTCATCTACCTCAAATAGGCATACTTCAAATGTTCAGCTAGAGGTTTCAGCTCCAATATGGGTGGTTGTTCTATGGAAGGAAGCAGTTTGGTGTTGCTGTTTGCTGAAATTTTTGCAATATGTAAATCACTATGGTCAGATATGTTTGTAGTTGTTGTAATCAAGTTGTTACATTCTGACCCCATGAATTTTGCGGCTTCATCAACATTAAAATTTGCAGAATTAACAATTAAAAGTTCATCTTCTTCAGCATAAGCACTGCACATGGAAGAATCACTACATGAATTACAAGCATATGTCTTAGTGCAGCAAGAAGAATTAAGGAGATCATCATTTCCTAAAAATTCAGACAAGCTATTATCAACAAATTCAACAAACAAATCTATGTGGAATATCGAATGGTCCTCAATGGGGTGTTTCATGTTATCCAAAATATTGAAATGGACAATGCTATCTCCAAATTCCATAGTAAGCGTGCCTGCATGAGCATCAATTTTCATCGTGGCTGTCTTCAAGAAAGGCCTACCCAAGATGATGGGTGCTGCACTATTCAATGGATGTCCTCCTTCCATTTTCAATATGTAGAAATCTGTAGGGAAGATGAGATCATTCACTCAAACCAATACATCCTTAATTAATCTAGCAGTGTAGGTTGTGCTTCTATTGGCCCATTGTATAACAACACTTGTGGGCTGCAAAGGACCAAGAGATAAAGAAGTGAAAATAGATAAAGGCATAATATTAATGGATGCTCCTAAATCAAGCATAGCATTATTAAACTTGTTACTGCCTATGGTGCAAGGAATGGTGAATGTTTCTGGGTCTTTGCACTTCTCAGGAATGGTTGTTTTTGGCCTTTCAAATAAGGCTGACACAATTCTTCCCACATTTACTCTCTCGTTACCCTTCAAATGCCTCCTGTGGATGCACAAATCCTTCAAAAATTGGCATATCTTGGAATTTGTTTGATGGCGTCCAACAAGGGTATGTTTACCTTCACTTTTTTGAATATTTCCAAGATTTCCTTATCCATCTCTTCCATTTTCCTGCTGTGCTAGACTGTTCTCTGGGGAAAGGAAGAGGACCAATTTTTTTTGGATTTTGTGCTGCACTTATGGGAGTAGAATGGTGGACAAATACGGGTTCTGTAGCGGCTGGGTTGTTTTCTTCTTTGTTTTCATTTGCTGCAATAGTGGTGCTACTGTTATCCTCTTCTTCTCTCTGCTGTTTAGGTCCTGGAATGCTCTTTCTTGATTTCAAGGTGATGGCACTCACGTTTTTGGATTCACAACTGTTTGTGTAGGTAAGTTGCTAAACCCTTGAGATTGCATTTAAATCAAAGAGGAAGCTAGTTATCCCATTTAATTTTCTAAGGTTTTGATACTAGCTCCTATCCTCTGCTGAAACGTTATGTTACTCATAGCCATTTGCCTCATGAGTTCTTCCAAAGAAGGTTCATTCTTTGATAGTGTAGTAGCTTGTGATGAGGATGGTCGATGTTGTTGTTGCTGCACATGTTGTGGATGATACGACTTGCTTGTTGCAATAATGTGGGATTGATAGGGAATGTTGGGTTGTTGGTTGTGATATTGTGCAGAATTATCCCACTTCAAATTTGGATGATTCCTCCAGCATGGGTTCTATATATTGGAAGATAGATCCCAACTTTTCTTCTGTGGCTGCTGAAAAGGAAACATGTTACTGTAAATATTAGTAGCATAAGCTTGAGGATTACCTTATGAGGTGTTTGTTTCTTGTAGTGGGGGATAACCATCTGTGTAATGGTTTGTTGCAGAACAAATTCCACAAAGCATTGTTGGAGCTTGTACAGTTGTGGCCTTTTGCATTGAAGCTAGCTACTTGATCATGGATGTAAGTTCATCAATTTTGTGCTCCAACTTGTTTGGGTTTGTAGTTTGCACTTCATTAACCCCTCTGGTTATAATTGAATTTTGTCTAGTAGCAAACTGTTGAGAGTTAGCAGCCATGTTTTCAATCAAATTCCTGGCTACCACTAGGGTTTTGTTCACTAGAGTACCTCCACTAGCTACGTCGATCATACTTCTATCCATTGGATGCAATCCTTCACAGAAGTACAAATAAGGAGCTAGTAACTAATTTGGTGGTGAGGGCAGCTAGGACAGAGTCTTTTAAATCTTTCCCAATATTCATAGAGGGTCCTTATTTCTAGGTGTCTTATTCCACAAATTTTCTTCCTTATTGATGTAGCTCTAGATGCAGGAAAAAATTTCTCCAAGAAGAGTCTCTTAAGGTTATCCCAACCTGTGATGGATCTAGCTAGAAGGTTGTAGCGCTAATCCTTTGTTGTGTCCATCAAAGAGAAGGGGAAAACCTTCAACTTCACATGGTCTTCTAGAACTCCCTGGAATCTCATGGTTGAGTAAACAATATGGAATTAGACTAGTTTTCAAAACAAATGGAGCTTTTACATTAGGGTACTGAATGCATAATTTTGGTATGTGACATCCAGTGCAACAAGCTCCTTAAGGGTTCTTTCATTGTTAGGTATTTCTTCAAAAGCAGAATGTAAAGAGTTTGTAGAAGAATAAACAGATGTAGGTGAAGTGAGACTATCTAAATGCTCAGAATGAGTCGTATTTGATCTAATGTTATTATAAAAAGTTCTATCTATTTTTGGATTAAGTGGGTACAAGTCTCCAGACTTTGACCTGGTCATGCACTACCGGCTAAATATGAGAATTGGAAAGGATTCTAGACAGCAGGATGATGCAGAATTAAAATTATACAGAATGAGAATTATGTAGAAAAATTATACAAAAACAAAATATAGTTATACAAAAAATTATGTAGTAGAAATTTGAAACAAAATAGAAACAGAACAAATGCAGAATATATGTAGGATTATGCAGAATGCAGAAAATTGAAATAGAACAAATGCGGAAATGGTGTGCTAAGAAATCTGCAGAATTATGCAGAAAAATTCAAAAAATAGAGTAGAAAACTAATAACTTCATGTAAATTTAGAATAGGAAAACTAACTACTTAAACAAATAATTTGTGTAGAATTAGATGAAAAATCACACAATTGAAACGATGCTAATCTATCACAATGCATGGATCAAAATGGAACTAACATATTAACATGCAGAATTCAAAAACAAAACACACAACGTGTTTAATATGTAATCATGCACCAAAGATTTCTCCAGCAATGACACCAATTTGATGAAGACTGTCGTTATCTTATCAAAATATGAGTAAGTTAAGCGTAGTACTAGGTCAAGTTAACCTAGGTTATCCTTCTAGAAATCATTGGGTGAGAGACTAAATATCAAACATATGATGTGCATTAAGTTCAGAAATCAAAGGGGTTTGGTTTTGGTTTTAAAGTCCTCAATCATTCAAAGTACTCGTCTTAGAGGGTTATGAAATTGTTACTTTTGAAAGGGAAAATGATCACTTTCACCCATTTTTCTCTTTGAAAGCTTAATTCCCATGGACTGTTGCTCAAAATCTCCTAAACATTTATTTTAATCAACATATTTATAAAAGAGATCTATAAAACTATATAAAATTGAACTAATTTAGAGAAATTGAAATTAATTACAAAAATGATATTTTTACAGTATTTACATTTTCTAACTTCATTTTTCTGTTAAAAATCTATTAAAAAGATAACTAAAATATTAAAAAAATATGGATTTATCAATTACCTCAGTTTTTCTTCAAATTAATCCATATAGAAATGAAATCTAGGACTTGAAAATAACCCCCCTTACTTAGAAATGGATCTCAAGAACTTAGTTCTGCGTGAGTGTTCAGAGGGCAAGTGTATTTACCGAGAAGTAATAAAGGGTTCTTAAATTAAGTTTTTGAAATATCGTCTCACAAGGATTGATTTTCAATTACTAAGAATTTCTTATTTCAATTGTTTAAGCTTCAAATATACGAAATTAATTAAAATAAAAATTTATAAAATCAATTATAAAACTAAGAGCAAGGAATACAATGCACGTCTTGGTTAAACTTATTGGAGAGGAACCTAGGGCATATAGGTTTTCTCATTCAATTCTTTATGTTCTTTTTCTGTTTAACTCTAAATCTAATTTTCTTGTGATTACTAATCATTCATATGAATACTATTAATACCCAATGGTCATGCAATATTAATATTCTTTTCTCTAAATTAACATCCCTTATGGTCATGCAAGATGGCGTGTAAAAATTGATTACTGGGCAAGTGCACCCATTGTCATAGTAATATTGCGAAAATTGGAGTACTAAGTGTCGTATTCACAGGGACTGTTACTAAGAATTACTTCCTTGATTACTCAAATGTTAATGAATATTAGCAAGAGATTATGTTAATAAAATTGTTGAACTAAGAAAATAACAAATTAAAGGAAATAGATTTCTATGATAATAAAGCCTAGAAAAATATGACTAAGTGTATTCAAGAAAAATAAATGAGTATCTAGGTTGTAAATCCTCCTAAATGTCCAAATAATTGGAATTCTCCTTCAACTACTTAGTTCTAATCTCTTATCGCTGTAGGAATTTCTGAATTAAACCAATACCTTTCTCAAGGATAATGATTCCTAACCCTCGGTTGATCAATCAGAATCTCTTCCTAAATTAATACCCCTAGGTTGCATTAAGTTCATTATGAATTCGATAATTAGGGTTATTCCTAATACAAAAAACTTACATCTTTCTATCTCTAGAAATACATTCAAGACCTTTTAATTGACCAATGTTAATTTCATGCAGGATTTTTACTCAAAATCAAACAAGGAAATAAGATAAGAGACTGTTGTTCGCAATCTAACACTAGCAAGTGCCCTAGGATTGCAGCAAGTAATGAGTAAATTTAAGATCCAAATATCGTCTCCAAAGGGAATTTAGATTTCAAGTACCACTTCACAGAATTATAACCATTTGAGCCATACGAATTTTAGAAAGAGAATTGTAACATATAATAACAGTAAACCAGCACAATACAGAGAATTAACTTGCAGAAAAACAGAGTATAACAATGTGATGAATTGAGATGGGAATGAAGAATAGTTAGGAATTTACTTCACAAGAATATCAGTATTAATTCAATTATGCCTTTGAACATTCAAGAACTTGGTTAATTGACAATCAGTTTCGCATAGCAATAGCCAAAGGCTAATTCCTTAACTCATTGACCCTAACAAGCAACTAAGCCACCCTAATCCCTTAGGTGAAGTTCAATTTCAAGTTGCATTAAGACTTAGAACCTTAAGATTGCATAATTAGGTCTCCTTATCCCTAAGAAATCCCCAACTTCTGATTGCTAACTCAGATCGGAGAATCAAATCCAACTTCCATTGGTAAATGTTCCTCTTTGATGAACCATACAAATTTCCATTCATAGATTGCAAGAAAAGCAGAATTCACAATTCAATTAATCCAAGAACTCAAAATTCAGAAACAAGAGTCAAATCAATACATCAATTCAAGTTCTATAAACTCCTAACTACAAGAAAACTACTCATACATGGGAGAAGAGAAAGAGAAAGAAGAAGAAGAAGAAGAAAAACTCCAAGAAGCCATAGCCAAAAGCTCCAATCCGATTCCTCTTTGTGGAAGCTTCAAGACTTGACCCCAATATTCTCTCTCAATCTCTCTCAACGAGATCTAACAGAAAAATGGAAAAATAAAACTGCACTCCAAAAAATCTGCACGTTTCTATTATTTATAGAATTTTTTAGATTTGCGCGTTATCATTTTTATAAGAAATAGTAGCCACGCAGAATGTTTATGGTTGCGCGTTAACACTTTTATGAGAAAAAGTGACCACGCGCAACTTTTCTGATATTGAAGGCTCTCTAGAACTATCACTCTTGCTGATAAAAGTGACTACGCAGAGCTCAAGTGATTGTACGTGATCACTCTTATGAATAAAAGTGATTACGCACAACTCGCCAGGTTGAAAGTTCTCTGGAACGTTCACTTTCGCTGATAATAGTGGTAACGCCTAGGCTTCCTTCTTCTTTGAACTCTAGAGTGATCACTTTTACTGACAATAGTGATCACGCCCAGTCTGCACTTTCTTGGTCTTGTGTTTTTGGAGTCCAGACTTGCTTCTTTCTTCTTCCTTGTCATCAAGCCTCCATTTCCATGATCCTTTCTCAATTTATTCCTTCAAAAACAAGATTAAAAACTTAATTTCTAAGCAAAATTTCTACAATTGCTAAGCTAACTACATATGTAAACAAACTTCAATTCCTTCTCTTTTTTTCTAAATTTTTCTCATTTCTTCATTTATTTTTCTTATTAATTGTGTTAGAATTATGCTAAAATATCAGTAAAAATATGGATTCCTTACTACCCCAAACTTGAATTTTTGCTTGTCCTCAAGAAAATCAAACTAAACCAAGGGTAATTCTTCTAATTTTCAAGAAAACCAATTCACAAACTGCTATATCAGAATTTTCCAATTTATAATTCTGTGTTTTCTGCATAGTTTTCATTTAAGATGTTCTTCTAATTACTCAGCATGGCAATCACAATGCATTCCTCAAGTTTTAAGCGATAATTGCTATCTAAGTGAATATATATCAGCCAAGTTCATGTGAGAAATACTAAAAATCATTATCACTTCTCACTGGACAGTGTTTCCCTCATTGCTCAACAGTGTTTAGGTACTTTTTTTCTCTATAATCATCAATTCAGCTGCACTCTACCATATGCTTGCCCAATTTCTCCATCTCCTCTGCTCAATACAGTTAATCACACATCCAGAGGGCTTTTTACAGGTTATAGCATGGCTTAGGTTAAGGCAGATACTAAACAAAATAAGAAGCAATTTGCAATTTCAAAAAAAATCAGAGGTATTTTGAGTGAATGACTTAAAAACTAATCTGGTTTTGCCTCATTTCTCCTTAACTTCCTCAATATTGCAGCAAACACTTTGTTTTTGTGCAGCAGAATTGTCATGTTGATTTTTCTTTCCTTGCTTTTCTGAGTTCAAAAATTT